GAAGAAGAAAAAAAGACTTTGAGTGGATACATCTCTTGCTACTACAGTTTACAAGGGATTCACTTGTATTTACAGGGGTGAATTGGGCTGACTTGATATCACTCAGCCTCAGGTAAAAAATCTCAACACCTCTCAGCAGGAAGTCTGCCAAGAAGGCCTGAGCAGATATAGTTTGTGACCTGGTGCGGGCGCTCAGCTGCCTACTCTTTGGTTGACCTTTGGGATGCTGTTCCCCTTGATGAGCTTTTAATTTTTCCCATCTGCAAAATGACATGGTTATACTTGAACTCTTTCCGGGGGGAGGGGTCCCTTTTCTGTAAAACATTCTGAATTTTATTATTCTTTTTGCCCTGTTTCCTGTAAGTTCATTTTCTTTTCCTCTGTTTCTTATAAGTACATTATAAGGAGATGGGAAACTTTTGGTTTGTGGAGAAAGAATTGTATCAGTTGGACTCTTTGGGACATAAAGGAAAATATCACAACTCAGTCTGGTTTAGGTAAAAAAGGAATATTTACTAGCTCACACAGCTGGAAAATCCAGGGGCAATGCCTTCAGGCATGACTGGATCCAGAAACTCTAACGACATTGTCAGGACTCAGTATCTCAACCTCTGGGCTCTACTTTCCCCGGAATTGGCTTTATTTCTAGGCAGTCTCCTCTCTTATGATGGCAGAAAATTCTAGGAAATGAAGGCCAGATGTTTTCAAATAGTTAGTCTTTTCATTCAGAAAGGAAAAATTCTGAACTGTGCGCTGCGCAGAGCCTGGGGAAACAGAGACAGAGCTATTCCCACTGTCTGCACTTCCAAGATCCAGGTATATCTAGATGTTCTTTATCCAAATCTGGAACCAAACTTTGCAGGACTTGGGCCACCCAGAGGGAAGGATCTGAATGACATGGAGTATCTAGCACTAGCCTTGGGCTTGGGGAAGAATCAATCTCCTTCCAGAGCCTTACGGCCGTGAAATTGCCCAACCATCTTCACTACCATCATTCCAGTCCCAGCCCCTCACCACTGGCCCGGACAATTGCAGATGCCTCATGAGGGGTCTTCCTGCTGCCATCTTTGTCCCCCAATACTCCATAATGCACACAGCAGCTGGAAGAATCACTTCCAAAAATATATCTGCACATGGACTTCTCTGCTTAAACGCTATCATGGCTTCCCATCAGGATCAGAAACAACTCAAACTCGTTCCTTAACCTTGAGAATAAAATTCCAACAAGGCTCTGTGTGGCCTAGTCCCATCTACCTCTCTAACCTTCCTTCCCAAGGTCATTTCCACCTTACGGCCTTTGCTTTTATTGGCTCCCCTGCCTGTAACCCCTTCCTCAGAATTTCACATGGTTGTCTTCTTCCTGCCCTCAGGCTCTGAGCTTAGATATATCACCTCCTCCTGGAAGACTTCCTGCCTGACACCCTTATCTAAAGTTGCTGGCGCCTCTCAGACATGCTTTACCACTTCCTCTTGTTTACTTTTCTTCATGGCATTTATCACAATCCAAGTGATCTGATTTATTTAACTTGTTTATTAACTGTATTCCTCACCAGAATATAAGTCCAAAAGCATAGGGATTGCTTGTTTTATCCTTCTCACTGGATCCCCAGTGTCTAGAGTAGTGTTTGGCATATAGTAGGTGCTCACCAATTAGTGGTTGAGAGAATAGCATTTCCAGACTAGCAAATACCTTTGTCTTCTATTAAATTAATCTAGGGTTTTTCAACCTTGGCATTATTGACATTCAGACCTGGAGAATTATTTATTGTGAGTGCCCATCCTGTGCACTGGAGGACGTTTAGCAGCATCACTGGCTTCTACCCACAAGAGGATGACATCTTGGAAAAGGACCATGATGATGGAGGTGATGAAAGTAAACAGATTTAAAAAATATAGTAATATTGGGGCACCTGGGTGGCTCAGTCTGTTAAGGGTCCAACTCTTGATTTCATCTCAGGTCTTGATCTCAGGGTCATGAGTTCAAGCCATGTGTTGGGCTCCATGCTGGCTGTGGAGCCTACTTTAAACATATGTATATATGTATGTGTATATATATATATATATATGTATATATATATATAAAATGTTATACTATTCATTATATTATATATTATACTATATATTATATATTATACTATATATTATATATAATATTATACTATATATATAATATTAGGTACAATACTATGGAAATGAATCTCCTCATTTTATAAATGAAGAAAAGGGCCAGAGAGGGGAAGGGGCCCTGTGGCTTAGTCACAGCTTTCTCTTCCAAAGCAGGGGGCTTACTGTGTATCCCTAGCTCCTATTTACTTGTCATGCAGTAAATATGTATTTGGAAGAATAAATGAATAAACATGAGGTCCAACTATGGTATCCTTAGGGAAGCCTTGCTCACCTCTTCAGGTAAATCCTTTGGTTCTATATTCATTTCTGGAGATTATTTGATGGATTCTGACTCCTCCACTGGACAAGAGTTCCAGGGGAGGATGGTTCCTTTGCCCAGCCTGGCACAGGGCCAGGCACCCAGTAAGCTCTCAATAACCAGCTGCCCAAGGTAACATGAATGAATGAATAATGAATCGCCAGGCTCTATAAACCAGCTGACCCCTCACTCTCTCTTCCCCTCACCTTACTTTATTTTTCATCTTTGCTGTTGCCACCAGCTGCCACATTGCATATTTATCTGTTGATCTACTTCATTGTCTACCTTCCTCCACTAGAATCAAGAATTCCATCCTAGAATTAGGTTTTAGAATCTAGCATGGAAGCTCATGAAAGCAAGGGCTATTTAAAATTGCAATCTGCCCCCACCCCACCCCTGCCTCTATCCCTCTCTACTTCCTTATCCCCCCAGCGCTTATCACCGTCTGACATATTTTTTTACTTTCTTGTTTTTTGTCTGTCTGCAGCCAGCTCTCCAAGGGCTGAACGTTTGTGTTTGATTCACAGCTGTTTCTCAGCCGCTTATCCTAGTGCCTCACACAGAGTAGGCGCTCACCCCCAAGTTCTTCACCTGACAAAAGAAGGCAGGATTGCTAGGCAGCCAGGAAAGGGAGCCCAGGTGGGAAGGGCCGGGCCGCCAGGTGCATCTCCTTCGCGCAAAGCCCTAGCCCGCCCCCAGCCTCACCTGGAGGCTGGGCCAGGCAGGCAGGAGTTAAGCGGCGCGCACGCTTCCGACCCGCAGGTGGCGCCGTCCCGCCTCGGTGCCCGACTCCGGGCGCTCCGAAGTGCGGGACAGAATCGCAGCCAGCGCAGAGCCTAAGCTCAGCCCCGACTTGTTGATCTCGCTCAAGCAGCCGCCGCCGCCGTCGCCGCCGCCGCCACCGCCGCCGCCGCCGCCGCCGCGGGAGCAGAGCAGGAGCAGGAGCAGGAGCAGGAGCAGGAGGAGGTGGAGCAGGAGGCGCCGCCCGATCGCGGACCTGCCACCCGCGCCCCCAGCGCTCGCCCGCGCCCCCAGCCTCGGAGAGGGAGCCCCGGCTCCGCGGCGCCTGCAGCCCTAGCGCGTCGCCTGCCTGGCCGGCGTAGGCCGGGCCCAGCCCGGCCCCGGGTCCGCCGCTGCCCGCGGGCGGGGGCGCCCGGGCTGCCGGGGCGATGCGCGTTCCCTGGCCCCGGGAAGCGGCCGCCCTGGGGGTGAGTGTTGAGGCGCGCGGCCAGCGGCGGGGACACAAGGGGACAGAGGAAAGGGGCTCGCCTGCCGCGGTTCGGCCTGTTGGTCTACCTGGGCTCCGCGGCTTCAGGCCGGCGGGGGTATTATTGGGGGTTCTTCGGCAAGGGTTGGGGCCTGGGGAGGCGCGAGGGGAGAGGGCGTCAGGATCACATTCTTGGGGGCTCAGGGCAGCCCCCGAAATCACCAGCGCGCGGCGGGAGGAAGGCACGTTTTGAAAAGGCCAGAAAATTCAGCTCCTTTCCCCGCCTCCCACCTCCCCCACCCCTTCCCTTCCAAGCCCCGGGAAAGGCGCAGAACCCGGAGTTATAAAAAGCCATCGCAGGAGAGGAGCGAGGGGTGGGGGCGGGGGCGGGGAAGGAGAGAAGGAAGGATGGAGCAGGTGGATCTGCAGGACTCTGCGCGCCCCTCCTGCGGTGGGGTAGGGGGCACAGGGGGAGGGGCAGGACTCCGCACAGATCTTGGCTTTGCGTCTTTCAGGGCTCACTTAGTTACCGGAGCGACCTCAAGAGATGCTCCCGTGCTTTAGGGAGAGGGGTCGCTCCGGAACAGCGAGGCTGTCTTTGACCACCCCGTCAGTTATGACCTCCGACAGGTGGGTAGCTGAAATCCCCCCAGAATTTCCCCCAAGTCTTTTAAGGTTTAGAAAAAGCCAACCCACTGCCACCCCCTAGAGCTCAAATTCGAATTATTTCGGAGCAGGGGGAAGGAAAAGATGAGAAATCTCAAAAAAAAAAAAAAGTTTTTCATGCAGCGCCCCTTTTGCCCATTGTGGGGCTGGTTCGGGACTCGACGGGGAGACCCAGAAAGAAGCGAGTTTCAGCACTCGAAGGGGAGGACAGCGCCCCGGGCGGCTGGGTCTGGCCTGGGCGGCAGAAACCCGGGGTGGGGCCTCCCGGATCCCCGAAGCGCCTCTTGGGGGCCCTCTCCCCGCCCCGAAGAGCCGCCCCTCCCTCCACCCATGGGGTGGGGCGGACTTCAGCACTGGCGGGAGGGACAGCGCCAAGCCATTCAGCAACAACCCCCCCCCCCCAGCCCCCGCCCCCCAGTCCTGAGCCGCTTAGGCACCGGGAAGGTCAAGGCCGGTTGGGGCCCCGGTGGAGAGGTGGGGAGGGGCCGCACCCAGCTCCCTGTTTCCTGACCCGCGTCCGCTTCCTGCCTTTCAGCGGTCGGGATGGAGGTGAGAAGCCGGCCTTGACGCGCGCCCGCGCCGTCCCCTGCACCCCCAGCAGCCCACAGCGCTCCCTGCCCCCCTCCCCCGCAGCGGCCGGCCTTGCCGTCCAGTGACAGCGGCCTGGGGGGGGCAGGGGGGGCGGGGGAGGCCGGACCAGCGATGCCGGCGGGCATGACGAAGCATGGCTCCCGCTCCACCAGCTCGCTGCCGCCCGAGCCCATGGAGATCGTGCGCAGCAAGGCGTGCTCGAGGCGCGTCCGCCTCAACGTCGGGGGTCTGGCACACGAGGTGCTCTGGCGCACCCTGGACCGCCTGCCCCGCACGCGGCTGGGCAAGCTACGCGACTGCAACACGCACGACTCGCTGCTCGAGGTGTGTGACGACTACAGCCTCGACGACAACGAGTACTTCTTCGACCGCCATCCAGGCGCCTTCACCTCCATCCTCAACTTCTACCGCACTGGGCGGCTGCACATGATGGAGGAGATGTGCGCGCTGAGCTTCAGCCAAGAGCTTGACTACTGGGGCATCGACGAAATCTACCTGGAGTCCTGCTGCCAAGCCCGTTACCACCAGAAGAAGGAGCAGATGAACGAGGAGCTCAAGCGGGAGGCCGAGACCCTGCGGGAGCGAGAGGGGGAGGAGTTCGATAACACGTGCTGTGCAGAGAAAAGGAAAAAGCTCTGGGACCTCCTGGAGAAGCCCAATTCCTCCGTGGCTGCCAAGGTGAGTCCGGGGTCTGCGGGCAATTGCACTGGGGGCTCTGCCTGGGTCCCCGGCTGGAGGACCGCCGCTGGAGGGGGGGGTGTCTCTGGCTTCGTTCCCAAAGAACACCAGGAAGGGGTAGGGGCTGTGGCCCAGACCTCAGAGGTGAGGACCAACACCTTCCAACTGTTCCTGTTTGCATTGGTCACCTCATCCCCTGATCATTCAATACTTTATACCTCGACTCTGTTGGAGAAGAGGATTTGCGGTGATGTAAACTCCCACAGCCAGAGGGTGGACACTGTAAATAAGAAGGCACAGAGGGACGGTAAAGCCTTGCTGGGATGGAGTTGAGTTTGGTCTATATACATAATGCTCCCTTGTGGAGTCCTAGACCCAGGCGGGAGTTGGGGGGGGGGTCACCTGCGATTCTAATACTTACCCCTCTATTTATAACCCCACTTTGCCCCAAGGAAGGAATGAAAGCAGCTTACAGATGTGCTTGGAGGACATTGAGATACTGTCAGGCAGTTTTAACATAAGTAAGAAAAATGAGGCAAAGGGACTCTGAGGGGTAGGTATGTATGTGCATGCATGGCGCACGCAGCTGCCTGTGGATGCTTGTGGGCGAAGGGTCACCCCTGGTTTGTTCTTTATTTATTTGGTGAGTTTATTCCAAGAATGATTTGGTGCAGCTTGTAAAGATGCTTTGGCTGTTGGAAGAGGATGTAAATTTTGAAATAAGAGAGAAAAATTAGGCAAAATGTGAAAAATGAAGCAGAAGGAGGCAGAAAGGCTTAGATCACACGAAGTGGACCAGTGTGCTGCTGGGTAACGGCAGAGGGTATGCCAGCCTGAGACAGACTTGGGGTGGGGGGCCAGGCCAGAGAAGGGGGTCAGTGCTGATGAGCTGCTTCTTTGTGTTAGGCTGGGTTCCAGGAATGCCTTGGAGAGATGGGGCCTGTCTTCAGGTGGCCAACGTGCTGGGTGTTGGGAGTAAATGACAACACAGTGTGTTCAGTGCTCTAGAAGAGGTTGTGTGAGGCCCAGGGGGAGCCAGAAATAAGAAGTGTTGATGTTGAAATCCAGGAGTACCACATTGGGAAAGACATGCAGAACACTCTCAAATAGTGGGGCCAGGAGGGGCTGGGGGTGGGGGACAGGTAGGTAAATGTGTTCGAGACAAAAGGAAAAAGGCAGGAGGAAGCATCATGTATGTGCTCGGGCTGCCTCGTGTCCCGCCTGGCCTCTCCTTGTGGGATCCCCCTGGCTTAGTTGGCCCCTCACTGAAGGTCCACCTGCAAGGCTGGGTCTGAAGGGGACACTGTGGGGTCCTTTCCCCAGATCTGGTGGCTTGGGGAGAGGCCTCTGAGAGTAGTTGCAGGAGGGGGTGGCTGGGAAGAAGGTGGAGGGAGGCCTAAACGTTTTCTCTCTTCCCTGGCAACCCCAAAGAGAATGCAGAGATTTCTAGGCCTGGTTCCCTCTTCTGTGCGCTGCCTCTGACCATAATCCTGCCCTAGGTTTCGTGTCCAGAAAGCTTCCTTCTTAAGACAGCCACTCACCCTTAACCGGCTTAGGATCAGCAGACTTATTTTGCTATTTCCAGGCCTGACACGGGTTCCTCCTACACACACCTTGGTTAGGCCCAAACATGACTATTCCCCGTCCCTGTCCTGTCCCTAAGACATGAGAATGAGGGGCCGGGGAGGGTCGAGTCACCCTCCCAAGGAAGAAGCCGGCAAAGGGCTGTGTTTGGGTTGGCGTCCGGCAGCAAGACAGGGGAGGGAGCTCAGGCTTGCAAAAGGCGCTGTTTGGTAATAAACAGCCTCATCTTGCCCTCGGGTTAATCCGCTCACAGGGACAAGCTTCATGACCTCTCCGTGATCCCAGGCTCAGGCTGTCAGTTCACATTCCTGGCAGATGGACGGTCTAGGACATTCTGCAGCTAGAGCTGAAATGGGGAGGCTCACAGGCAAGCATGATCATTGGTCCCCCAGTACAGAAATCCTGACCATTGATCAAACATTCACTGTTTGAAATGTAACAACACAACTGGGTTGTGTTGTGTCCTTATACCAGCTCTCTGTTATTATCCCGCCTTTTGCAAATAGGGAGGTTTGGAGAGGTTGAGTAACTTGCCTAAGGTCACACAGCAGGCAAGTAAGAGTAGCCAGAGATTCAAACCCAAGCGTAATTTTGAAGACGTTGTTCTTTCCATAGTGATTAAGTGCCAAAGACTTCTCCCCAGTCTCCCTGCTTCCACTTTTGCCCCCTGCAAATCCATTGCCCTCACCACAGCCAGAGGGAGCTTTTCAAAATAGAGACTGGATCACATTATTCATCTGCTTAAAATCCTGCAGAGGTTTCCCACCACCCTCAGAATAAAATCCAAACCTTCCGCCACGGCATATCAGACCCTACCGAATCAGTCCCCATGTCCTCTCTCTGAGTTCATCTATTCAACTCTCCTCTGGTTCACTGGGCTCCAGTCCATTGGCTTCCTTGCTGTTCCCTACCCAGGGCAGGCCTTTTGCACTTACTATTCCTGCCACCTGGAATGCTTTGCCCCCTCTTGTCCCATTCCAGCTGCTTCTCTTCATTCCTCATTTGAGCAAGTCCCTGCTCAAATAACCCCTCCTCCAGGAGACTTTCCTGACCCCTGTCTAAAATGTTCTCCTTCCCCTTACTCTCTGCACCCACACTCAATGTCTTTCCTGCCTAGGCTTGGAGCACCACCTGAAATTTTATTTGCTTCCTTTTCTTTCTCCCCCTCCAGAGTACAAGCTCCATGAGTTACAGTCACAGCTCTGTTCCCAGCACCCATCAAGGTGGCTGGCCCAGAGGAGCTCCAAATAACTACATGTGGACTGAATGAATGAATCAAGCAATCAGTCAGTCAGTGTGTCTTGGGTTTTGGGGCTCTGTCACTTGTTCCTCACCACCTGCCTGCGACCCAGCTTCCTGGCCTCCTTCAGTCACGTGTACTTTGCCCACCCCACCCCATCCATCCCCCAGGTTAGATGCCTTGCTTATCAGAGCAGCAAAGCCTATGGAAATTTCTCAGAGGCCACAGAATGAGATGGTCAAAGGGAGGCTCATTTCTCGGTGGTTGTGAGATGCAGGAACAAGCATATCTCCTACGTTTAGAGCAAGGACAGACCAGGGTCCCAGGCCCAGTCCCACCACCTCCCCAGTTTCTGACCTCAGGCAGGTTCTTCACCTCTGCAAGCCTTCGCCTTCCACCTATAAGGTGAAGATGCAAGGCCCTTCTTGCAGGGTCATCATGGAAATCATGTTTGTGAAGATTTAGCACGGTGCCCAGCACATGGGCGTAGGTGGGGCTCGTTGCTATAAATAGGAGCAGAGTCCTTTCTCTATGACTGGGTGGGCTGAGTTGCGACAAACTCTTTCCTTCTGATAGCAGTACTGGGAGACGGAGCTGACGCTGTTAATAATTGATGGGATGTTCTGGCAACACGGAGACAAACCAAAGTACAGGCTCTAGCCTTCACCGTCAGGGGAGTGAAAATCAAAATCCATTAGGCAAAAGCCAGTGTGATGATTCTTGTTTGGAAGCTGGGGTCAGCCCCGTCCGAGCGGCAGGATTGTGGTCCTGGGCCACCACTGGGTTTCTGCTTTCTTGGAAAAATCTCCAGGCTTTTCTTAGCAGGAGAGAGAGGGAAATAATTCGCCAGGCCAGGAGGGTCTGCCTTCCCTGGAATAGTCTCAGGGCATGTATCTCAGTCTGATTGGCTACTGTTGATTGTGCCAGGCGCTAGTTAGTGGTACTTTATATCCCCTATCTCATTGAAATCCCTTCAACAATCCTATCAGGTAATCTGCCAATTTGGACTGCAAGTAACAGAATAGAAAACTAAAAGTGGCCTCTACAAGGAGGAAGATGCATCATCTCACGTAACAAAAAATTCCAAGGTAGCTGGTTTTGGGCTAATGGCTCCATGATACCATCAGGATTCTAGAATCGTTCCATCTTTCTGCTCTTCCAGCTCCTGCAGGTGGCTTGGCCCTCAGGCTTGATGCCTCATGTCACAAGACAGCTAATGTAGACCCATGAGGTCCAACCAGTGAAGAGGGACATTTCATCCCGTATGCCACCTTTTTCCCTGAAAGGCAAACCTTTCCCAGGAGCCCCCTCAGACTTCTTTTCAAATCCCATTGGCCGGAATCAGGTCACATGCTCATGCTCTCACAGCAGGGAAGCCGGGGAAGGCAAGCGTCTGCCATTTTCAGATGCAGGAAGGAATGGCTTCAATGAGTGGTATTAAGACTCTTTCACAAAGAGAAAATTGAGGCTCTGGGAGGTGAAATCACTTGCTGGAACTCCCACAGTTAAATGCTCAATAAATATTTGTTGCAGGAATGAAAATGGCAGAGCTAGGGCCTGAACCCAGGCTGGTCTAGTTCCCAGCTTGTGTTTCTTAATCCTGGAATCTTGGGCAGATCATTCAAGCTGTCTGCACTTTAGTGAGCTCATTGGCCAAATGTCAGAGCAATGGCCACCTCTTGGGGCGGTTTTGATGACTCAGCGAGATTTCAGATGTGAATATAATTTGCAAATGGAAAGTACTTTATAAATATGAATAATCATAATAATGACATATTATTATATTCAAAAGTGGGAGTGGTCTTTATTTAAAGTTAGTGGTCAGTATTTTGCCCACCACAGATTTGATTAAGAATCATCTGTGGGTGGGGGTGGGGAGCCTGCCTGGCTTAGTCGGTAGAGTGTGCGACTTTTGATCTTGGGGTCGTGAGTTCAAGCCCCATGTTGGGTATCGAGATTACTTAAAAAATAAAATCTTAAAAAAAAAAAAAAAAAGAATCATCTCCAGGGTCTAGAAGATGTGGTTGAGTTCTCAGGTCCATGGCTTACCAGGAATATGACCTTGGGTGAGTTCCTTCCCTTCTCTGAGTCTTAGTGTCTTCATCTAGGAAATGGGAATTAAAATGGAGCCCACCTGAGAGGGCCAGAAGGAGATAATCTGCATAAAGTGCCTGGC